CATTTCAGTGTATGACACCTAGAAATGCAGTGCTTTTAACTCAGAGTAGAGAAATCCTAGCCTTCTTTGCTTTCAGCTTGATTCCAATTAATTCTAGTTATGTAAAAAGCCTAGCTTAGAGCTTACAAATTTCAGAAGATGCTATGAATATTTGTTCTCAATCTTCTACTTTTCTTTCTGGTTTAATACACCTCTCTTTAAGACTATTCTCATGTTCTTGAGACTGACACCTTGATAGGCATATGGATAGATCATATAAAAAAAGCTTTGTTTCTTCCTCTCTGCTACTGATGATGAACAGTATTTGTCATTAATCCCACTAATGCTGTTTTTAATTAGCTCCTGGAGAAGACCCCAAGAAGCACATTAGTGTCTGAAATTGCTGTTGATTAAACTGGCCGGGACTTTCTGTTGAGGAGGGGAGCACTGAGGCCCTCTCTGAGAGCCTGCTGATGATCCCTTGCTTAGAAGTAGCCCCTTGCCCACATGGATCTGTCAGGCTGGCCCTGTGGGATACTTTTCTCTCCTGTGCATCCTGCCCAGAACAGAGCCTGCCCTAATTGCAGGGGCAGCTCTTTCCCTCCCTCCTTTCTAATGACAGCTGTTCAGTGCTGCTGCCTGAGCTGGCAAGGTTTCTCAGGAAACAAAGATATTGCTGCCTAGCTTTAATCTCTTTCTGTCCTCAAAGACATTTCTTTTTAGTAACAGAATTTTTGCCGACATTGATAATGTTTCCTCAATAAAGATTCCTTTTTGCTTAATGCTGTTTTCTAAGCCTGTAGTAATGGACTATCTAAAGTTGATTCATAGAAATAGGTAGACCTGAGACTTAAAATGAGCACAGTTGTACAAAGAGCAGCAGGTGTAAGTGGTCAGAGGAGGAGAAAAAGCAACCATACAAACTGAAAAGCTCCAGAAGGAACTCTTATTAAAGTTTAACAGAGGGAAATTGTTTGTGCTACCTATGGCATTCTTTGCTGCAAGGGTCATATAGTTAAACTGCTCAGGTTTTAAAAAATACATTGTGTGTTATTCTAGGCAATTTCTGCAATTCACTTGTTTTGTCATTTTCAACCCTAGTAGAGGAAATAAATATTTAATCTCTCAGGCTGCTCTCCGACTCAAGGCTGGTTTTGGCCTTTACTCATGCATCTACTGTCCCAACTAGTGGTGATAAAATTATTTGATGAATTTGGATAAAGGAAAAATTATTCAGATTTACTGAGATAAGAGAAGAAAGGCAATGGAAAAAGAAATTGGGATAATAAGCTCTGGTATGGATATAGCAGAAAGGAAAAAGGCATAAATTGCAGCTCAGATGTAGATGCACAGCATTGTCAGCCAGTTCAAGGGGGGCGATTGTCCCGCTCTGCTCTACCTTGCAGTGGCCTCAGCGCAAGTGCTGAGTGCAGTTTGGGGCACCAGAACATAAAAAAGACATTAAATCATTAGAGAGTGTTCAGAGGAGGCCAACAAGGATGGTGAAGGGTCTGGAGGGGAAGCTGTGTGAGGAATCACTGAGGTCACTTGGTCTGTTCAGCCTGGAGAAGAGGAGACACCTCATGGCAGCCTGCAACTTCCTTGTGAGGGAAGAGGAGGGGAGGGCACTGATCTCTGCTCTGTGCGGGACAGCAACAGGACCTGAGGGAATGGTCTGAAATTGAGCTAGGAGCAGTTTGATTTGGATATCATTAAAAGGTTCTTTGCCCAGAGGAACAGGCTCTCCAGGGAAGTGGTTGCAGCACCAAGCGTGACAGAGCTTGGTGCTGTGACCACCACAGAGTGTTTGGACAATGAACTCAGGCTCATGGTGCCACTCTTGGGGTGTCCTGTGCAGGGCCAGGAGTCAGACTCAATGATCCTGATGGATCCCTTCCAACTCAGAATATTCTACGACTATAAAATAGCTGGTCAGTTTGAGGTAGATCTGGTAGAATTAATGTCTGCTATGGAGTATTTTTGATAACACTTTAAGGTTTTGTTCAGTAATCAAAACCTGTAAAATTGTGATGTAGAAATCTTAGCAGGAAATCCTCGGGAGAATGAGATTTCTGCAATGTACAAATCTTAACAGGAAAACCTCAGGAGTGGCTGGAAGTGGTAAGAAACTTTGACAAGATGCTAAAATGTGGTGAAAAGGCAAGTTGAATGAAATACAGGGCTTCACAAAAAATAAACAACAGCTGCAAAAGGAATCACTGTCTCCTAAATTTAGTGTGGTTTTTTTTCTCAGCATATCAGCAGAAATAAATAACAGAAAGATGTCATATGTTATTAGGTTTTCCAAAATCCATTTGAAATAATTTAAGAATCTAGGCAACAAGATAAAAGATGGATAAGGTAAATGTAAAACAGTAGGATTGTTCAGTCCAGATGGCATGTGACAAATTATACACCTCACTGAGTAATTTGTTAGGAGGCTACTACATTGAATACAGCCTTCATGTATGGTCCTACTTCTTCTTTGTCACCCTTCTTTTAATTCTGACATCTGTTTGAGATTGTTGAATTTGCAGGCTGATGCCAGGAACAACCAAATGCATTTATTTGCACTGCAGTATAAAGAGAGACACTAATTCAATAATGCTGGTGAGAAAGCTTGTACATCTTATAGGAAAAGTAGCAGCCAAAATGTTCTGTTTTGAAACTTGATCGACAGGAAACCCAACTTCCTATGATTTCCTGTTGGAGCTTATTCTGACAGAGAAGATGAACAGCCACACTGGAAACCAGCTGGTGGTTGCCAGCATTCAACAGCCTAATTTCTTTTGTCTTGTGCAAATAGAATGTATCATGCCTTATATGGGGTCTTACAGAAATTTGAGCTTTTAGGGGAAAAAAGCCAAGCCTGCAGCCATTTGGGCCCTTTAACAGCTCCCACAGCATGTTGCCCCTCTGTCGGAGCTCCAGGAGTGGCAAAGGCTGCTGTGTTCAGTGGCTGCACACACTGAAATCTGCGGGCTGTGTCATAGCTTAGTTTAACTCAGTGACCTCATCTCTGTTCAGCAGCTTCTCTAGCTGTTCTCTGTGCTTGCCTTGGTGATTTGAGCAGAGCCCTGGTATCTGCAGCTCCATCAAATGACTCAGAGTGCTAATTAGTCACAAAGGAGCCGTGTTCCCACAGAACTGGCACTGGCTGTGTTTGTTTCCTTCTCTGTAAAGCCAGAATTGCCTTCAGCTGCCCAGCAGTCAGGTCAGTGTAGAGACATCACTAGTAGTGTAAGGCATGGGACAGGGTCAGTTCTGAAGTGCTGAAAATGGACATGGAAAGTACTGTTGGCAAGAAAAATGTAATCAGTAGGTGTAAAGTGATTGGAAGTTCGTGGGACTGGTCAGCTGTGTACTCCCAGAAATAATCTCTTAAGGTCTGGAGTTCTTTCTCTGTTCACAAAATGGGAAAAAAACCCAAAACCAAACCCAACCACCAAACAAAACAGAAACACCCCTTAAAAACCCAAACCATAAAGAAAAAGTCCCACGCTATCAAAACAATGGTAATCCAACCCAGACAAAAATCCCCCAGACTCTTCCTTCCAAACTGTAAAACGAAAGTAGCTGTACTAATTTCTTCAGAGGAGAAATGGTAGAGAAGATAGATGAAAAACACAAAACCTTGATAATGGTGGCTGAAGATGTCAGTGGACTATCCAGAACCAGTAGTATTAAATACTCAGATTAGGACACTAAGAAAGCCTTCAGGTATCAAAGGAGGGGAAATTCCAACTTCAGCAGTGTATTTGTCAGTAACAATCATGGTACAGAAATGGCTGCTATTTTTGATGTAGGAACAGAGGACTCAGGGAACCTCCTCAGAATGTATGACTCTCTTCCCTTTGTTTTGCTGGCAAATCTGTTGTTTTGTTATTACTATAAAATCATTAAGTACTTCAGATCTGCCTTTCAAACAATAGCCAAATACAGTTATTTCTTTAGTGGGTAGAAATTCTTCAGCAGTCTGTTGAGGTCAGGCAGTAACTGCAAAATATCCTCGTGTTCAGTAATATAGTACCAAATGTAGTAAAAAGTTATTTTAGCTGTGAAGATTTTTTTTTTTTTTTTTTACTTGGAGTACCTTACATCACTGTCTTGTGAGGAATGACATCTCCACCAATTCACCAGCTCCATCAGTTGTGCTTCCTGAAGGAAAGCAGCACACTCGGTATCATCACCCCTCATTTGTAAAAAGTGGTACTGAAAGCAATGGGGGGAAGAATCTCACAAAGGGTTGGGCCCAGATGGAGGGTTGGGAACCAGTACAGCAGTTTGTCTTACAGCTCAGAGCTGGCTATGTGTTCATTGGGATAGCTTTCCTAATGTCATAGCATTAATTTATCTGATGTAATCATAAACTTCTGTCTGGAAAAGCAAACAAAGAGAATTGGCAAGTCCTTTGGTTTTCATTTTTACTTATTTTTAGGGTGTGAAATCATCAGCTGTCATGCAATTTTACTTAAATACTCTTCGAGGATGCTTGTTTTATCATAGTAATTTTTAACAATGCTTGTACTGAAGTAAGGCTGGGTTTCCTGAAGATACACTGTGTGAATAAAGGGATTTAAAACTTTCGATTTTCTTACAATAAATAGCAAAGTCACACTGATTTAAAATAGCCATATATTTCTATTCCAATTGTTTGCCACTCACCACGCCTAGCATTATTTTTTAGAAAAGCCAGACATTCTGAAGCTAAGTGGAACATTCTTTGAAGATGAAATCAAAGTCATTCATACCGTTTTGAAAATGGGAATCTTGGTTTCTTTTTAACCTGTTGAAAGTTACTATTTTCTTCCATTTCAGCCTTATGCATTTGTTGTTAGTCTTATAAAATACTCAGAAATGCACCTGAGATTTTAAAATAGTGTGGCCTACTTAAACTCTGCTTTTATTTTTGAATGACATGTATATTACATCTGTTTCAAAAAAATACATTTAAGCATTTGAAAATCTCCATTGAGTGTTTAATCCTTTTTACTTTCTCTTTTTCCCCCGTCTTTCTGTAGTTCTCCTGGCTTTGATAGATCGTATGGGAGATGCCAAAGACCAAGTTCGAGAGCAAGCACAGAATCTTATATTGAAACTGATGAGTGAAGCAGCACCACCCATGGTATGATTGCTTAATGCAGATTCAGATGGAAGCCTCCAGTGAGCTTATGACTTTTGTATGAACTTTGAACATGTCACAATGTTATTGCCACTGTTAATGGTGTAAATGTTAAAGATACTCTTAATGGATTGACACTGATGTATTGTTCAGCTAAAGATAAAAATCTTGGCACAATGTGATTCTGCATATTTTGCACACCATAGCTTAATTCTGAGTAGATGTTTTTATGCTTTGTTAGGGCTTTGTTAATTAAAGCATCTTCTGGGTTTGGACAGTGGGAATAAATACCTTTCATTAGCTCCAAATTGATTTAAAATTAGACTTGTACTTGAACATGTAGGACTAGTCCTACAGTTAAGGTGCACATTTTCTAACTTAAAAGAACATGGCCTTCTAGCTTCTCTGTGAACCATGGACAAACTGAGGTGGGGATAAGTTGCCCTTTGGCTTTTCATTTTTGGTTGTAAGGAGGCTTACTTAACCTTCAGTTCTAAGCATTTTGTGGCTTCTGAGTGCTTCATCTTATATCTTGATTCTGTGAGTCTGAAAAATGGAGGACTGTTTAACAATATTATATTCTTGAATAGTGGTGTTATTTGGAAGTCTGGAGACCCTGGATGTGAATAAGAACTTACTATTTAAGTTTTCAGTTCCTGAAGAAAATCTGTTTCTGAGTTCTAATTCTAGATGTTAATAAAAAAAAAAAGGGGTTTTGTATGTGCTAATTCCTGGTTTTGTTTATTCATAGATTCAAGTTTGAATGTTTGTGTGCAGTGAATAAGATTTGTGGACTTTATCTAGAGTGAGAAAATTATTGTCAGTTGCTTTGTTTGTCTGATAAAACATGTAGCATGTTGGCTATTGTAGAACATGTTTATTTCCCTTTGGCTACAGGTCTGGTTGGGATTTAGGCATCAGGGTCTAGTAATACCATCCACAAAGACATTCCTTTATCTGTTCACAAGCTGCAGTGTCAGTCATAATCGTTGACCAAAAGACCTGGTAGTAATTTTTTGTGTCAAAGTGCCAGTAGTTCATAAATGATGTGTTACTGTGCCCAAGATGCTCCCAAGTACCTGGCACACAGACCAGCACCTCCATAGCAACAGCATTTGGACAAGTGCACAGCAGAGCACCTTGAAGATACCTTCAGTTGCTGATGAAGAAATTGATGGTAGTTGCTTTGTGCTAAACCTTTGTCAGGAAAGTTTTGCATTGTTGGTCCATCTTTGTGCAGAGTTGTTAGGCTGTACATAGAGGTGATGGAAGGAAGTTTCCATCCCCTGTGAAGATGACTCTGTGTCAGAAAGCATATGAGGTTTGTGGGGTCCAAGGAAGACCATGTGTGTGTCAGACAAGGTCTGGTCTCCTGGTAGCTCCCCCAGAGTGGGAGAAGCCTGGCTTTGGTTGTCTGCTCTCGGGAAAGCTTATGGGTCATTACAAATTTGGATGAAAAGCATCAATCATCCTCACAGCAGGGACCAAAACAACAGAGTCTTTCCTGTGCCTCCAACACTGAAATACAGAGCTTTAGGCTCTCTGCTGCAGAGTGAAGCATCCCTTTAAAAGAGCTGAGTGGAATAATTGTTTGAAGATAAGTCCTGTAAATTTGTTTCTAGTCAACCCACCTTGCCTCTTCTAGCATATTGTTGAATAATATTTAATTTGTCGTGTCATTAAAAATCCCTTTACTTGTTTTAGATGTTAAGGGGGGTTTTGTTTCTTTTATGAGCAAGAACTAGATGTAGCTGTTTATAGGCAGGAAGGCATAAAAATATAGGGGGTATAAATGTGCATGAAAGGGGCTAAGAGAGGTTGACATCAACTCTTGCTAGGAACTTTTGAGCGTTAAAATTTCTAAGCAGCCATTTGAATTTCTCTGCTTAAAAAAATTTAGCTCTTAAGGGATAATTCAGTGAAAGATGAAATTTCTCTTTGGTCTGCTTTGCTTATTTCAGTAGTCTGCAGTTCCCCCTCCACCTGTATTTTTTATACATCTAGCAAGATTTCCTTTTTCCCACGTTTGTCCATGACAGTGGGTTAATTGGAAGGATGTTTTCTTCCATAAAATCCTGTTCTTTGTTTTTAAGCTATGCAGTTTTGGCAAGCCATATCCTGCTCGTCTAAGGTTTGTTTTCTCTAAATGCAATGAAGTATAAAACAAACAAACAAAAAAACCACAGATGGGACAAAATTATCAAGCAGGGCTCTAATTGGAAAATTTTATGTCTGCTCTGAAGCGTGCTACCTCATTAATAAAGAGGGTGCATATTCCCTGCTCTTATGCTCTGTTTTTGTTGATCAACAGCTGTTTGTGAAGGCTTTATTTTTTTTCTCCAGCAAGCCGATTGCAATAATTAGTATGTAATACATTTTAGCAGCTTTGTGTGGCGTCATTACAGGTTGCAGTCGCAGCACTCCGGGGTGCAGTTGGCGGGAGGGAGGTGCCTGGGCTGCAAAGTGTGCAGCTCCTGGCAGTGTGCAGCCATCCATCGCTAGGCAACGCTGCCCGGATGCTGGCCGGGCTGCAATGGCAGCGCCGCAGCTGGGCCGAGCTGCAGCCTGAGCCCGTGCAGCTGCTCCCGGGGAGAGTCCCCCAGCTCCTCTGCTCCACCTCGGTGCTTCCAGCGCCCTGATACACGGCTAGAGCACGGCAAGGAGATGGAAAGGTAACGGGGTGAAGGCAGCAGGCAGAGAGCCAGGGCGGGCAGAGGAAAACGAGTGCGCAGGGAGGTGAGCGAGGGTGCAGCGAGCCCGGGGATCGTAGCACAGGAAGCGGCAGCAGCGCGGAGAGGAGAACCGAAAGCACAGCAAAAATGGAAGCGCACGAATTAGAACGAGGGGGCAAGAAATAATCAAAAAATGAGGAAATAGATCTAAAGCAAAAGTAAGGGAGAAGTGGGACAGCAGGAGTATAGGGGTAAGGACAAGCTAAAATGGATGTGAGGAGATTTTGGCAGGGAAACAGAATATGAAGCAAAAAGAATATAGTAACTTCTGCTTGAGTCAGTAGTTTGTACTGTTAATGTTTGTTTTGTGTGCATTAACTGTAACAATTCTGTATGTTTTAAGAGCTGTTTGTTAAACAAGGAAAATACTCAGCTAGATTGCTGAACGACTTTTTTTTAGGAATTGGTTTTGGTGTAGAATTAATCTGTGTTGTGTTCCATATTGTGCATTTCATAAGTTAATTTTATCACTTTTCCAGTGGACCTGCCTTCTGTTATTTTTTTTGCAACTATTATGAATGTAATTATATGGAATAGAATTATGTTGTATTGTGCTCCTGGTAATTAAAGACCATTATTTCTGCTTTTATAGTACATTTGGGAACGCCTTGCTGTTGGTTTTAAACACAAGAATTACCGATCCCGAGAAGGAGTGTGTTTGTGTCTTGTTGCTACCTTAAACATGTAAGCTTTTTGTTTCTATGGAGATGTAATGGTTCTATCCTTCTTCTGAATGTCATTTTTCTCTGAAAGTAATCCTTTAGGGAGTCTGCTTCAATTAAATTAATATATAGGAAAAATCAAACTACTTAAGTAGCGGGCTTTCTGAAAGAAAGACTAAAGTTACAGAAATTTTGTCTTATTTAAAAGTAGATAAAGGACTAGTAAGAGAGAGACAGAGCTTGACTTATGTCAGCTTGTATTCTATAAAATCTAAGCCAAAAGTTCACTTCTGCAAAAATTATTTTCCGATTTTTTCTTAAAAAACACTCTTCTTTTTTTTTTTTTTAGTTACGGTGCACAACCATTAATCCTCAGCAAGTTGGTACCACATCTGTGTATAGCATTTGGTGACTCCAACAGTCAGGTAAGGATTTCAGTACTTACTGGGCCTTGAAAAACTATACTTTGACAGAGCAGTGAAAGCAAAATAAATGTATGCATTCAAAGAAAAGCTGCTAAGAGTCCTTGTGTGCAGCAGATCATTATTTTCTACCATGAGAAAAAATAAACCAAATTTCTTCTTAATCAATCCATTCACTGGAAGATGAAAGTAGAGTTGCAAAGGCCGCAGTATCATGATGTACTGGTCCCTTTAGTTTTGTCTTCAGAAGTTGAAACTAGTAATTCCTGAAAGTAATTGTTTCTTACAGAGCATGTTGAAGGAAATAAATAAAAAAATAAGGTTTTGACACAAAAAACTACCTCTAGAAGCAGCCCTTGTGTGAAGCCTGTGCTAGTTTGCTAAATTTGCTGGAGTTAACATTATGTGTAATTGTCCAGTTGGAACCCAAATGGCATTTAAGAACATGCAAGGACTGTCATTCAAATCATTAAAGTAAGCAAAAACATCTGCCGTGAAAATCAGGAAGTAGTTCATAATGGTGACATCTGAACCTCAGAAAATCTTCCAGTGAAATTGTTAAAATATATTGATTTATCTGAATTTGAGTTTGAGGGAAAAGACTATGAATACAGCAAGGGAGAAGATAACATTGGTAGGAGATGGACTTTAAAACAGGATTGGTCTTTATGCTTAATTTCTGAATGCAGCAAAGTTCTTATCTCCCCTGTGCTGCATAGCACTGTTCTGTTCTAGAGAAATTCTGTTGAGAATTTGTCCTGTTTGCTGATCATTGGTAAAGATGTAGTTCACATCTTGCTAGAGCAATTGTATGTTTAATTTGAACTGCTGCAAAGAATAATACTGAATTAATTCCAGACATTATTTATAGCGAATAATGGCATTTACTAAAATGCATTTTTGACATTTCTTATTGTGATGACCATGGTTTAAAATTTTTGAAGAGGCACTCTATCTCCTTTCTTTCCCCTGTTCTTTCCCCTTTCACTGTCCTGCCCTATTCCCTTTCTTGTGCTGATGTCATGCCACCTGATTCCAGTTGAAATAAATAAAGAAAATGCTGATCACTTTGGTCCACTCTTGTGGGCATTCTTAGTCTTCCAGAAGGACCTTGCTGTGTGTCAAAACAGATGGAAGCAAGATGAAATGTCAAGACAGAGTGCAGGAGCTAACTTCTGAAAGAATTGCCTGCTGTGAGCGAGTCCTAGATAAAGCACATTTTTTCCACAAATGCTATTCTTATGTCAGATCCAGAAATTCCCTCTAAAGCTGTTATTTCTAGGATTTTTTACCATCTGGACATGCTCTCTAACTTGGAACAAATGCCATCTTGATATAACAGTTGTATTTCCTTTCCTTTTCACCCTCACTGTTTCAACTGAATTGGCATACAGGGCCATAGAAACTGTAAGATGAGTGGTCTGTCAGCAAATGTTGTTTTGGTTTCTATAACCCTGAAATTAACAATTTAAACTGTTCACAGGTGAGAGATGCTGCCATACTAGCCATTGTAGAGGTTTATAGACATGTGGGAGAGAAAGTACGAATAGATCTTACAAAAAGAGGAATTCCTCCTGGAAGGTAAGCTAGCTGTTCTGATTTTGTAATTCTGAGCCACTTATGTTTTACTGTTTTTTATCTGAACTTTAAACTCACTAAAAATGCTGTTTTAATATTACTGTAATTTTTATTTTATATTCTAGTTAGTCTTGCCTTTCAGTATGATGTTACTAGAGTTTCTGACTGTGTTGTGTTGATTAGTTTATATGAAAGAAAATTTGTTATTATTATTAGTATTGTAATAATTCATATGAAACAAAACATTATTTTGTTTCTACCTTTGATTAATTAAGAAAGCTAGACAGAGCTTGAAATTGCACTTAGTGAGAAAGACTGTTTATTCCATAAAATCTTTAAAAATCCTTGTTAAGACAATTTGTACTTCCTAAAATGTGTTAACCTCTTATATATTAGTCCTTATATACCACTTTACCATCACCTTCATCTCACTTCTTTTTGATAAAGCTGAATATGTCTACTGCTTGGTTTCAGAGAGAGTATCAGATGAGTGCCTTATCAGACCCATCTAAGGAACTAAACTAAGCGAAGCTTCTTAGGAGACTTCAGAGCACTTTCCAGTACCTGAAGAGGGTGTAAGGAGAGCTGGAGAGGAACTTGTTACAAGGATGTGATAGGACCAGCGTCAAGGGTTTTAAACTGGAAGAGAATAGGTTTAGGTTCAATATTAGGAATTAGGAATTCTTTTTTGTGAGGATGGTGAGACTCTGGAACTGGCTGCCCAGAGAAGCTGTGACTGCCCTGTCCCTGGCAGTGTTCAGGGTGAGATTGGATGGGGCTTTGAGTAGCCTTGTCTAATGAAAGGTTATCCCAGCCCATGAACTGGATGATCCAAAACCATTCTACGGTTCTATGAAAGAAGAAGGGCCATGGAAGAAGGGTGTTGAATTTATTGTTTCTCATTCCAGACAGAGTTCAGCCTGTTGAGACACAAGTTTACCCCGCCTATGAGAATGAGAAGTTGTACACATTCTCTTCTATTTAATGATAGTCTTGTTTTTAGACTAGTAGTGGGTTAAATGGTTACCACAGAAGTTAGGCCATATTACTACAATTCAAAAAATTAAGTTTCCTATCAAATAAGTGGAACATATCCAAGACGATCTTCCTTGCATTAAGATAGGGCCTTGAACATGTTTTGGAACAGAGAATAAAAGAGTGCAGATATCACAGCCTTTTTGCAGTGAATGTTGGGTCTGACTGTAACTTTAAGTTCCTCACCGTTTAAAATTCCATGTGATACAAGCTGAGTACATCTTGGGTTCCAAATAGGATTAAACACCATAGGTGCTTTGTATCCTCAGGACAATCAACAGCTTCTAATTTAGTAGCAGTAGGTGCCAAGTTGTTGTTTCTACTGTCTGAATCAGCTGAATACAAAATTCCCCCTGATCTGAAAGCAAGCATGGTTGTATAATTTGCATTTACATAAAGAAGCAAGGCTCTACTTGGTGCATGTTAAATGGGTTGTTTCCACTAAATCTCCAGCAGTTTTGCACCTGACAGTCAGGACTATTGTTAAACAGTACATGAGCTGAGTGTCAGTGCTGTGTCCTCTGCAGTAGGTTTCAGGTTGGGATAAAGGAGGGAGTTAGGATTTGCCTGAGTTCAACATGAGACTGCTGCTCTCTGTCCCATCCATCCCTGACAGAAAGCAGAGTTCCTGTAGTCCTGTCTTACTCCTTCACACAACTAAGAAGGCGTTTGACAAAGCTCAGGAAAGACAGATTAGCTCTGTGGTAGCTCAGACTGTTGTTCCTTCAGAGGCAGACCTCATTTAAGATGTTTCTTCCCCCATGCCTGTCAGAGGTTTTCCCTTTGCTTAGATGCAGTAAAATTTTCAAGTGGTTATGCAGGAGCTATGATCTGTGGGGAAAAAACCCTTTGATGTAGAGTATCATCATTATTTTGAGAGGAATCTGTGTTCATGTGTGTGTGTCTGGGTTGGTTTTAAGGGTTTTAAGTATTACAGATAATCTGTAGTTCAGACACGGCTGCTTTCAGTTGTTGAGTTCAGCCTTAAAGAACTGCATTGCAGCTCCTTTGCTGTAACTCAGTGCATTAAAAATTGCATGTAAACATAAATATTAGCAGAAAAATCTATTACTTTAGTGTTTGGTGCACACATGAATCAATAGAATGTAGGCTTGTTTTGTTTGCATAACAAATTACACATTACAGAGCTGTGTGTTGCTGCTTGAATGCACTCCATCCTAGAGCACTGGAAAATAAGAGCTCCGGTCTGCTGAAAGGAAGGCAGGAAAGTTAATCAAGCATTGTTTTGAGAAATTGTTCAACTTCCTTAAATATGCAAATGGTATATGCATATGCACAAATGTTGTGTCTGTATAAAGCCAAATACGGTCAGTACTTTAATAATAGTAGACTTAAAAGGTTTTCTAATCTGCACCTGGTAGGGTTTGCCTTTGTGGAAAACACTGGATTTTCTGCAGGGCTTTACTGGACCTGTCGGAATCTAAGTAATGAATAAAATATGGGATCTTACTTTTGTAGTTCAATTTGACTTATTTACTATTTATTTTTCTTCAGTGCATTTCTCTTTTTTACTGAGATTAATTGGTGAGTTTGTTTATAAATAAAATCAGTCAGTTCCTCTTTCTATTTGTTATTTTTTAACTTAGAAATCTCAGATTATTATTAGGCTTTTTTGCTTGAAGCACTTTCTTTTTCCAGAAAAATCAGTGTGAAGTCAGTGGTTGGAAATTTGGATGTTGTTTTCCCTTTTGTTATAATTGCTGCCAGAGAGGTTTGACAGTCTTTGGTGTCAGACCTGAAAGCAGTAGTGCTAATATATTTGTGAATAGTGAAAATGGATGTTTATTTATTGCTCAGTGAGCCAAAAATACTGAAGAGGGTTTGTTCTCTATGGGCCAAACTGAATGTTTTACAGTATGGAATCTGTGTGGCTGATCTTCCCTGAATGGAAAGAGTATACGTGGCTCTGAATAGCAGTTCCTTAGTCTGAGTGTTTAAAGCTTTTATCATTGAGGAATCCATCTGACAAATTTCCCCACTGTTGCTGGAGAAACAGAAATGCAAAAACCCAGTCATTTGTTTAGTTCCCATGTCTAGGGCCAAACTTCATTTCCTAAAATGTTGAAGCATATTGCAGTATGCATTTCTGAATACCACATTTTATGTGGTATGCACATTCTACTTATCTGTCTAGTTCAAGCTGTAGATGAGGTCCATCTGTGTGTCCAGATGTGGACACATGTCTTCAAGATTTATTTTTTTTTCCCTTGGAAAGGGGAAATGTGGAGAAACAACTGCAAAGTTTCATATGGGTCATTTCCTGCTTTAGACTCAGTTTGGACATAAACAACAGACTAGTTCACCATCCATTCTTCTTCTTTATCCTTCTGCTGTTGATAGGGGAGTGGTGCTCTTTTGCCTCTTCACCACAAGGTCCACACTTTTAGGTATGCCCCTCTACCCATCATATGAACAGTTGAACTGCATCAAGCATTGTCTTGAAAAACAGCTTTTCAGTGTGAAGTGTTGTGCACATTCTCTGGAAGCATCCATGTTTCCATGTGTGCATGTCAGCTCAAGCTGTGTCCTAGCAAGGTACGTGTGTATTCCTCCTGTTGCCCATCCTCACCTTTGATTGAGGCCTGTCGCCTGCTGGAGGAGAGGGTTTGCCAGGTTGCCAGGAGCCCCCATTTAAAGTGCTACGACTTCATGCATTCATTCATTTATTCACTGACAGCCCATCCAGAAATACCTGCTGTCCCAAACTTGTGGTTTTTGTCAATGGGAATTTTCCCATCTTGAGGAAGACCTGTCTATGGCTGTTTGGGAAAAGGAGATAGTATTTCTGTCCACCAGTGACCTGTGGTGACTTCAGTGGTTGATTTTGATTGCCACATCTGGAGTTGGGCTTGCAGATTCGAGATGAAGGAGTAATAATGCTTCCCTTCTCAAAAATATTCCTTATTGCCAGTAAAACTGGTCTTCATCCAGCCCTGTAGAATTTCTTGGATTCCTCTTGGCAGGCTCTCTTTTGCCAGGAGCTGAACCTCCTGTAAACATTCTTAAGTTGATGGTGGTTGCAATAATTTTAGAGACTGTAGCCCATACTGCCTTGCTGCTTGTCACCATGTGAAGAAATAAGAGAAGGAGGTAGTAAGAAGAGCAGGGTGGGAGGAGAGGGAGGGAGAAACTTGTTGTGAGAGACTTTGCAAAGTAGTAGTTACAGATCCTGTAAGCTCTTCTAAAGAGAGGGTTGGTTCTACAGTAGTGCTTTACCATGTTGACAGCTGTGTTATAATTGGCTCTTCTGTTGTTGTTGCAATTATGACAGATACTGTGGAGTGTGTCTCTGGTCATAACGACATGCTTTGAAAGTGTGAGGAGTGGCAGTACTGTGTGTTGTTCTCCAGCCTGCAACACTAACAATGTAGCATCCACTGCTGACAAACACATTTTTTTAAATTGTTTATAGTTAATACTTTATCAAATATTTTGCCCAGAGTGAGAGGCAACATGTATATTATTGTAAAATATTTACAAGGAAGCATTTTGCTTTTAGCTTCTGTTTAAAATACTCAGGAAAGCATTTTGAAAACAAAGTTCAAAAGAGCAGGAAATATTTTTTTTTCTTTTGAATTCTCTAAAATATTTGTGCCAAGTGGATAACATCAGCTTTACATGATGTAAAAATCAAAGTGAAATTTTAAGGCAAATCTGTTAATCTCTCTAGTCATACTTAGTTTCTCTTGGGATGACAGTTTGAGCCTTTCAGATATACTGTTAAGTCTTTCTTATTCACTAGGTGAACTGCTAATGCCGTGTTTGCTGTGGAATCCAGCACTGTTGAGAGGAACTCACAGCAATCCCTGATAAACACAAACATATGAACATATGAGGCAAACACATTAACTTCTTGTTATGAAAGCAAGATGGCCTAATGCATTGTTATAGATACTGATTCTCGTGTGAACTCCTCGCTTCCTACGGTTGAAAGCACATAGCATGTTAATGGCATTTCATGTGTCATTAGTAAATTCCAGTACCCCAAAAACATTTCATTTCAGAAGTTTTACTTTTTCAAGTCGAAGTGCAGAAAACCCCATTTCAGTATATACTGCAATTGGTTTGCAAAATTAATCTTTTCAAAACTTGAAGTTTAATAGTAGAGCAGTGACATTTGTGAATTGCTGCCGTTTCATTTTGCTGTGGCAGCACTGGTTGGAAATGCAATGGTGCAAAAGGGAGAGGGGATAATAGGTTCCAGACACAAGCTGGTGAGTGTGTTAGGGAGAGATTAGGCAAACTACTACTGTGCTGCATCTAGTTTTGAGACAAGTTGAGATGGTAGGAGTTATTGACTTTAATGTTTAAGAGGGTTTTTGGTTGTGTTGTTTTAGATCCTTGCAGAAGGGTAAGCCTTTTTGTGGAGATCTGTATAGTTCTGATTGTAGGCTAAGTCCAGGACAAATTTGCTCTGTAGCATATTGCTTTGAAGTGTTTGGAAAGTAAACATAATGCATCCTGAGAGTTCCAGATTGTTGGAAGGGGGCGCGGGGGGGATAGGGCTCCAATTTTTTATGCTGTTGTCTGTCTCCATTTCATTTTTTTATCACATTCTTCATTATTCGGTAATGAGGTTTATTAGGTAAATGAGGTCCCAGTGAGTGAAAGGGATATGCAAGTCTCAGAGAATGTAGACTAAGTGCACTGCCTCTCTGCATGGATCATTGCATAAAAGTGGTGTGTGAAGTGAAATGAAATGCTGAAGTGAAATCTTCCTGTGTCCTTGACTTTTCTCCTTGTGAGAATTTTCATACCCAGGTGTAGTTCTTACCTATTTTTCTTGTTTTGTCATACAACAGTTTGGATTGTGAATTGTAAAGACAGCCTGTCAGTGCAAATTTTGAATTGGGTAATATAGTCTCTGGTTCTTCTGATGTAGCTGAACTGTACCTGTTCAGAGATCTGCAGATTGCCATGTGATTTGTAGTTCATAACTTTGTTCATTTAAAATCAGGATTCAGTCCTGATAGTCCTGGAGCTAAAAATCCCATGTGCGTATTACATCTTACCATATTCCCAGTAGTTTAAAATTCAGAGAAGTCTTTGGAGAAATACAAGAAAATATTCTCAATTGTTTGCAGCTGAACAGTGTCAGTGCAAATCTATTGTTAATGTGTGGGTCACATTTTTCTGGGAGATACTTCCACTGCTTTTTTTGAGTTTTCTACAGAAGGGATGAGAAAGGGCTGTTGAAGTGTTTTGCCAGCTTTCTTGATTGAACACCATTTTTTGCCCTGTGGGACTAGATTGCAAACGTAGGATTGTGGAGTTTTGTGATTTGGTTTATCCTGAATTTTATCTGTTTGCTGTTTACATGTAGCACAGCATTTACAGTGTGTTCTCTATTGTGACAGTTAAAATCAGTGGTGTGTGGGTTGGACACATCTAAATGTTTAGGGTATCTTAAGTTTAGAAGAAAGTCTTGTTGTTTGACAGAGCTCTTTTCATAACCAAACTGAGGAAATTTTGTGGAACAAAAACTTTTGAAGAAAATTATTAATAGTCTTAGAACAAATTAAATTCTTTTTTTTTGTTCTACTGAACATTCCATAGTTCAAATTGTAACCTTTTATTGTTGAGTATGAATAAATATAGATATATATATAGACTATATGTACCCAATATGTGCTATTACTGAACCTGAACTATAGAAGGTTATTTTTAATCATGCTAATAACTATACTAAAGTTTTGTTCTTTGCTAAGTTTACTTTGTTTTCTATGCATTTCTGGGAATATGCTCAGCTAAAGAGCAATCCTTTAAGAATTGTTTCTTCCTACACTTAATCCCTTGAATATTTGCATTGCTGCTTTATATATGCTAATAAACTAATTTCTGTTTCTACCAGTAGCCGGTGGGATTTCAGACATTTAAAAATCCTTTGTTGTTTTTGTTCTTTATAGGTTGCAAACAATCTTTGCAAAATTTGATGAAATAAGAAACTCTGACAATATGATTTTAAGTAACGTCAGTGGTGAGTATGAAAGATCATATATTTATAATCAGCTTTAGATTAATGCAAGATAAGTATTTAAATAATAGCATTATCAGTGTGAGATAGATGAATAGCAACATGTAAATGCTAAGAAAATGAGACACTTGATGAAACGAGCTTGTGCACTTTACTTGGAAGTATTTGCTGGATTGTGGTCAGAATACAATTGGAAAAGGTGTTGAAACTGCATGGAAACAAGCAGGGAATATTTAATGAGTTACAGATGTGTTCAGCAGAGGATAGAAGAATGCTGCAAAGTGTTCATGTATGGGAAAAAAGATCAGATGAACCTTTATCCTTAGTATGTTTCTAAGAGAAAAATGTGCTTTAGTGATGGGTGTGTTTGATACTTTCTCTGTTAAAATTATGTATCATGATTATAATACAGGGAGTTTAAAATTACAGAAATAGGAGACTGCAGCATTCAAAGACAATTGTTGAAGTTAAAACTTCATTGAGCTTGAGCTCCTTATTTTGGTGTATTTCAGGAAAAAACAACCAGTTATGCAAAAAATCCCTGTTGGTTCTTACTGCTTTATTGCTACCATATTTTTTAGTATGAAAATTGAATTTAAAACTGTAAATTATGAAAAAAGTGTTACATAACAGCAAAACAAAGGAGGTGCCTTGGCAGTGGCGTTAGCATAGTGAGTTTTGGAAGCCTCATTATCTTCTGCAAGGAATCAATAGATCTTGTTTTATTAGGAAGTGTTTCTTCATATTAATTTGTCTTTGAAAGTAACTATGTTGATTATGGTCTGCTGTATCTAAAAAGTGTAATTGTTCAAGAGTAGAAATATTTTGAGGAATGTATATAATTCCTTAATGTACTCAAATATACCTTTTTCATTTTAAATTTTCTCACCCTTTTCTTGTTAGTGTGAAAACAGAAGTGACTGTAGGTTCAAAGGAAGGTGGTTTTGTAACCTTTTCTTTGACATAGCAAGAGTTTTTGTGCTGCATTTTGCTTTGAAATAAAGCATTGCAATTCTTGAACACTTAAAAATTGATTTGTAACAATTTATATTTTTTTTTAAACCCACAGCATTCTAATTTGGGTAAGAATGTTTTACATAAAAATGTAAATGTTTATGTTCTGTTATATTGTAAACTTACTCATTATGAAAGGGTGAACCATTATCTTTTGCATTTAATATTAATACAGCTGCGTAGGTTTCATAGGTTTGAGAGATTCAGAGATGCATTTTACATGGGTATTTTTTCTGTCAGTAGTTCTCAGGAAAACAGAGAAAGTCACAAAGGGGAATATAAGGATTGAAATTATTTAAATATATAAATATATGTATACCATGTTGCTGGAGTAGTTAACATAGCACTTCTGTCCTTTTTGTCTCCATTTAAGAGAGTTGAGAAAGTTTATTTTGAAGCTATTTTTATCTCATGTGCAAAACACAGATATTGATGCTGATCTCTGACAGTATAAACCATGTATTTTGTCTTGTAGGTAGCAATTTCTATGCAAAAGTTATTGTGGTTCTATTTTGGTACCATAAATGACAGAATCCCTCTTAATACGTTGGTTTCAGTATTTTTTGCTTGAACCTAGTTCATCTGTTGCTTCCATCTAGGCAGTTTTTCAATGTTATTGAAAGGTATTCTTCCATTGTTAGTGCTTTATCTTGGCTTTGTGCTTCAGTATTCTCTGAAGGACAATTTGTATTTACTGCTTGCACGTGTAGATGTAAAGTTGCTGTTGAATTCCTGTGGCCTTGGTTCCAACTTTTCTTTCAGGGGCTTTATCAAACATCTCTGGATAAAGGCCAGATTTTAGTGACTAAATACATTGTTACAGTGTTGAGGAGTTTTCTTTTTTTGGTGCTTTGTATATTTTGTAGTAGGGTTTGGGATGGTGGGAGTGGGAATAGGGTTGTCTTTCCCAAATGGGGAGGCAGAGGCAGGGTGAAAAGTACAAAAACACTTCATCTGGCTTTAATATCATTAAACTCCGTAGTGGGGCTTCTTAATAGCAAAAGAAATGGCTTTTTGCCAGGTGGAGTTACTGTCCCAAGTAGGGTGACTGTACTGATGGGGGTTCTGTTCAGTGTGTGATAGATAGGGAAGAACTTGTTCATACAACCTCAGAAGGTATCTTCTTCTTCATAGCCCTGAGTTGCACTGCTGTGGTAGTGAATATTTGGTGTGTTGACCTAGTTTCTGAGAATCCAGAGATGTGACTGAGAATTCTCTCATCAAATAATACTAACGTCAGTTGTTCAGTCTTTTTATCCAGCATGTACTTAGGAAGAAAAAAAGGAATAAAGAGTCAAAGCTTGCAGCTTTAAACAACCTGATTACAAAAATGTTTTCCATACTTTTTTGATATTCAAAGCAAATATATATTTAAAAATACTGACCTAATACTTGAGAGTTTTAAAAGACATAATGTTGGTATGCTTAGGTGTGTGAGAGAAATACAGGTAGGACAGGACAAGGTTTCCTTCCTGCCATCTTAGCACATTGGTAGATGTAATATCTTACTTTTTCAGTGTGCTGGAGGGGATCTAGTGAGAACAGTCCCTTCACTCTTATGTTGCCTCTTTATTGAATCTGGTCTCTGATGGAATGGTAAAGAGCGGGGGAAAATGAGTTACTGTTAGGGACTGACAGATCCTCTTCGAGGGTAGACAAGGTGGAAGGCACATTCAAACACGTATGGCTGGAATAATTGGGGTGGGATGTAACAAGGAGTTTCAAACCCAACACATGAGGAGGTGCCATGTCTAACAAGGGAACTGGGTAGGAATCTTAGTGCTTTTGCTTGATAAGAGTGGCCTACAGTCTTAAATAATATCCCACTGCTAGCTTGCCTCTCCAGCTGACCCTCGATTTTTTTATTTTTTACTCTAAGATGTGTATAGTAAAATCAGAGATCATTTCTTTAATGTGAATTATGTGAATGAATGAGCTGCTATGCAAACCTTGGGATTTGTTTACATTCATAATGACGTGTATTAAAAGAATCATATCAGGATGTTTGCCTGTTAAGCAATATCTTACACGTGCTGCTAGTTTTGCCCTTTCACTCCACCAGAACTATATGTAGCCTTCCAAACTGGAGAAGATTCTTTAAAGCACCCCCCCACCACCATTTTTCAGCAAGTGAATGTTCATTTCTATGGAAACAGAACTGGCAGCCAATCTCAGCACTACAAAAGCATTTGTTTCTGCTGCCTGACATTTGTAAATACTGTTTTCTTTAAGAGAATTCAAGCAGACTCCTGTATCGGATAGTAGTGTCATTTTTGAGATAGGGAATTAAAACAAAAGTAGGGAAACTATTAATACTGAGCTCCCTGCTGCACTCAGCAGAATGATTGGGCTGAAGATAAATCGTTCATCTCTATTCAACCTGTGCACTTTTTCCATTTTAATATTTAATGGCTCAAAGGACTGGCTTTACAAACACAAAATATGACAGGTAGGATGTATGATTATGGTGTAGGGGAGCTGTATGATGTGTGATAAAGATGCAGCTGAAATACATGTTCTCCTGGAAAAAAAAGGGCAAATAAAAATCCATAGCAGGAGTGTGTATCTGTTTTTCCACATTACACTATTGTTTTTTATTTCCCTTTGCTGTTTTCTATTTGGAAATATAGTTACTATGGAGACAGTGACGACATACTCTTAATAGAGCTCACCAGTGGAGCACAACATGAATATATATCGTTTGGGAATACTGGTGGTAGCTGCCGTGATTATTTTATAGAGGTTTTGAGCTGCATGTGTTCCTTCGGTGTGCTCAAAGCAAGCGGTCAAAATGTAACCACATCATTTTCCATTTCAACTGCTCTTCCTGATGGCTTATCATTTTAAATAGGAAAATCTACTGACCAATGAAGTGTACTGGTCAGTTCAAGCCCATTTGGAAGAAAAGGGCCTCATCAGGCTGGTACTTCCACTGGTTTTAAGGAATTTGACTGAGCTTTTGGATTGTCACTACAGGGAACTGTGTCTGGCTCCTTGCAAATGCGTGGTTCTCATGCTCGGTGCAACAGCATATGCTGCAGTCTGCCTGAGTTTTAAACTTTTCTTTTGGCAAGACTAAGTAAATTGGTACTACTTACTTGCTACTATTTTTTTTTTGATCACTTTGGATTGCACTCTTTACCCTCAGCATGTCACCCGAAAGGTACATTCAGGTACAAACTGATCAAGTACAAATTCTGATCAGCAGCTATCAGCTGATCAGTGTGGGCAGGCTGTCATTGATACTCCCAGCGTGTGTTGCACACATGCTTTGGAAGCAGTTTCTCTTTCAAAGGTGCGGGGGGGATTTCCAGAGAGGTCTCCCGAAAACTCAAAGAAAGAGGCAGCAGCTTTCTTCAACGGAACCCCTTCCTACTTCCTATGTCTTTATTATTTTTTTCATTTCGTGTTACGTTATGTTTTGGTTGATCTGTGTTCCGCAGAGCGCTCGTCCTTTACCGAGGCTCCTTCTCCTCCTCTGGTTTCGCGTTCCGTGGCGGTAGCGGGGGGCAGGGCTGTCCCCGGGCTGTGGGCTGTCCCC